TAGTAAGCGTCGGAATCAGATCACTGGACGTTGTGCGATTGTTGTATCAATGAACATAATGAGTGAACATTAGTGTGGTACTAACTTAATGTTGCTTGAAAGTGCGAGACAGCACAATCCAAAAATAGCATAAAAATGGGTCTTTTATAGTACAGGTACAGTACTCATTTGGGTTGGAGGCTGGGGATTGGGATAGAGGCTGGGATAGAGACTGGAGGTTGGGATAGAGAATGGGGGTTGGGATAGAGGCTCGGAGGTTGGGATAGAGATTGGGGTTTGGGATAGAGGCTGGAGGTTGGGATAGAGACTGGGGGTTGGGATAGAAACTGGGGGTTGGGATAGAGGTTGGGGGTTGGGATAGAGGCCCCCACGTAATGACCATATTTGTTCAAATATTTTCAATCAGGTTGTAGTCGCAGCCCTTGCGAGGCCAGCGCTGCTGACGTCACAAACTGTTGGATAGCCACTGACACTTTTATTGGAATTCATAAATGCCATTGGTAGGCTACACAAGTTTACAAAATAAATACTGACTACATAATACAGCAGATGAGAGGCAATTACGTTATATTTGTTGCTCTGTAAGTTAACTGAAATTACATAGGAAATATCTAAACTAATAGACTAAGGAGGATGGTCTAAATACAAGGATAATATATGTTGATGTGGTTGGCTTCACAAAATAACTTGGTGCAGCCTTCTTCCTTCCTCCCCACCACATGGATCTCTCTTCCCCCTTCCTGTCTCTTTTCGTCACACCACCACCACCGTCGTTCAACTTTTACTATATAGTAATCAATGACGTTATATTTGGCTATCAGAATGTAATCTGTAGTCATACAAGATTCAGCAATATTCTTAAATAGCGGAGGAATCTTTTCTGAACACCATTATCTGATCAACAAAATGAGGTTGCTTCTGTCCATTTAACTCAATATAGTACATCAACAAATACGTTGCTGAAATTTCTCACAAAACCCGCCACTACTGCACCAAGTATAACTGCAGACTACTGTACAGGTTGAATCAATACTTTACTTTATCCTCCTCGCCACTTATCACATTGTTAACAGCTTGGGCGGTCAGTTACGTCTCTGTTACGCACTGTTGGCAAGTACTGGCTCGTGAATGTATCTGAACTTGCTCCAGTGTTGGTCAAATCTGGTCTTGAAACAGCTCACATTCGGTGCCGTCACAACACTCTCTGGCAAGTTATTCCAAGAGTTCACAATTCTCACTCTGAAAAAGTTTGCACTCACTGTTTTGAATGTTTTCTGGATTTGTGGCTTTTTCAACCTTGAGCTGTGACCCCATGTGGGGCGAGCGTTCGCCAGCTCCACGCACTGTTGGCAAGTACGTGTACATACTGTGCCTGCGCCAGTGTTGGATAAGTCTGGTCTTGAATGAGCTCACACTCGCGCCGGCGCCGTCTTTGGCAGATTGTTCCAAGAGTTCACAGCCCTCACTCAGAAAAATCTTGCCCTAATATTTTTTTTTAACTTGTGGCTACCTCAACCTTATGCTGTGGCCTCTAGCGGGGCGGGCATCCGCCAGCTCCAAGTATGAACACTCGACTGAGTAATGTCCTCTGAGGTGCTTATAGACTTCTATTAAGTCATCACTTGCCCGTCAAAAGCATAAGTTAAGACAACCGAGCGTTCTAATCTCACTGGGTAGTTGAGGTGCCATAGTGCAAGCATCAGTCTGGTGGCCCTCCTTTGGACATTTTCAATCAACTGACAATCTCTAGCATACTTCGGGGACCAGACAGTGCCGTAACAACAGCATAATCTATCACTGTAGGTAATTTCCAGGATACTAATCAAAATATATATTTATGCATATCTTTTTATTTATTTATTTTGCTTTCAGTAGCAGTACATATAATGAAAATACCTGTACAGTCCAGATAATTCTTACTGAACTTCACTTATAAAACCATCCTAACAATGTCTTCTGTGATCAAGTAGTGAAACACAGAAACAGTGTTAAGAATCCCCATTACAATCTCTATCACCGTCCTACAGTAACTGTGACGCACACCAAATTGTGAGCAGTCCAGAACACTCAGTGATAAGCTTGAGGCTACAATGCTGCTTGAGGCTGGCGTTGAAGACTGTAGATGTACACGGAAAACCTTTATTAAAATATCAACAAACAATTACCTAGTAGCAAAAAAATCCCGTCATCAAAGTATTGTAGTGGACAAAATCCCACCAGCTCGTTTTTTCCAGGTCCCGACACTCCGTTCCTGTGGGTTTGGTGAAGTAAGATTTGATCTTGCAACCTTTTGGGGACTGCTGAAATTTGCGGGTAAATTGTGGCCAGGGATTGGTGGTGGAATATGGCTCAGCAGGTGATTATGACCATAGATTGGTAGTGGAATATGGCCTAACAGGAAGGAATTATGGTCACCGACTCGTGGTGGAACATGGTCCAACAGGAGGATTGTGGTCATAGACTGGTGGTGGAACATGTCCCAGCAAGAACATGAATAAATAAGTTGATTTTCACCAAACATATGAGCGACGACTAACATTCATAAAGACGGATCAATGACCTAAGGCTTGTGAGAGTAAATAATGATACCAACCACTGCTAGGGGAGTCCAGGTTGTCGGTGTCGCTGTAGATTTAAAACAGGATATGACACGAGACCAACCTTGTCAGGTAACGGTAGAAGAACCTGAGGAGTCAGTGAGTTCACAGAACTAGTCCTGTAAACAAACTCACAGAACATTCTCTTACATGACGTGTACAGAGTTAGTGGTTTCTAATCTCTGTTGACAGTACATAGCTAAGTTCCCCACCAAAGGAAGCAAATGAAGAAAAATGGAAGGATTAGGCAACTTTTAAGAGGTAACTGAACAAGGCGCAACTCATGCCAGATAAAATACCCCACATCGTGAAAGAGCGCTACTGCAGATGGCGAGGAAATGTTTGTCGGGTGTAGACTCCAAAAGCTGGCATTTGGACGTTGGTGAGAACTATCAAGGCACTGTTGACTGCTCGCATTGACCCTAATTTTAAGACAGGACCAAAGTGCTGATCTACGCATAGAAATGGCAGACAACAGTGAGGGTCCGGAACACCGACATGCATGAACACAGCAGTTGAACCGATCTATACATCACTGAGTCAAACAAATCACAGCAACAGTACATGATAGGTAGAACCACTCACAACAACAGTAAAGGAACATTAGAACCATTCACAACAACAGTAAAGGAACAGCACAACCACTCACAACAACAGTAAAGAAACAGTAGAACCACTCACAGCAACAGTAAATAAATAATAGAACGATTCATAACAACAGAAAATTAACAGTAGAGGTCATCCGCATAATTTCTGATGAGAAGAGAGGAAGTTTTGGATTATGATTTAAAACATTATTGTAAGGGTATGGGTCGAGAACGGTATGAATCGAGGACTGTGTTGGTCAAGGAGGAGGTATAGAGGGCAACCAGGGCGAACAAGATAATATACCTGAGAAAGACTAACTGGGCTGAGATTCCACAAATTAAGTGGAAAAAATTAATGTAGTCTTAAGAAACAAACATTGGTATTAAAATACGTTTGTTTAAAAAAATAAAGATAAAATCAATGAGTTCCTGTAATAAACAAAAAATAACTACACACAAAGGCCTCCGAAATCTTGTTAATAATTTTACTAAAGTTAAAATTCTATCATATACTGTAACTACATACACAAAAAAGTAAAATAACTTCTACAACACACGCACACACAGAGTAAATTTGATCAAAAGACGCATTAAATAGTAAAATAGCGACAATTCTTTTTAAAAATGTTCATGGGGAATCTTTGAAACCCGAATACCAACTATCAGACGTAATGAAGTGATTCATATCAAGAGTAGTTTACAAGGTAGTTAGTGTGGAACCATTCCTCAGGACTACAAGTCATTAGAAACTATCACAATGTGACCTTCATCCCATCACAGGAGTCTTCATCATTCTGTAGGTCTGTGGGCATCCGAATACCAAACAGAACCTCCACCAGGCTTCAGGACACCCGCTGCTGGGGTGTCTAGCGTCTTCTCCACCAGGCTTCAGGACACCCGCTGCTGGGGTGTCTAGCGTCTTCTCCACCAGGCTTCAGGACACCCGCTGCTGGGGTGTGTAGCGTCCTCTCCACCAGGCTGTAGTGAGATGCAGCAGCAACACGCGGGTACCAACAGGTGTTGCTTCTTCATCCCTTGTTGTTTTATTTACAATCTCTTCTTGCTTTGTTTGCTTCCACGGTGACTGATTCATCTGCTGTTGGTCTGTTTATTGCCATCGTTTGTTGCTTGTAACAACATTGATTGGTTGATCTCTTTATATTAAGTGAACTACATCAACTTAATTGATCCGTGAGCCTTGAAAACTACCAATAACCCATCGACTAATATACAGTATACTAATTGACAATAAAACAGCCTGCAAACAAGTAATTGTGAACAAAAGAAATCAGAGCTTTGTATGTAATATTTTAATTTGCCTCTTTAACAGGGGAGGAAGCCGGTGGTGTGTTTAATGCTCCCTATTACTACTAAAACGTGTGTCCTTCATCACTCATCGTCCAATGTTAGCGCAGGACACCGGAGTACCTGCCATGTTTGGCAGCATCACACAGGGCAACTTCCTTCCACATTTCACTCAGGAGTGAACCCGATACGCAGTAGTGAGAGGCAAGGGTGATACCACTGTACCACCACCACGTACAAACAGACATAGTACTTTGCAATAAACTCTCCTTGACTTGCGTTGTGTAGCAATTTTGACCCACACAGCCAGGGACTCACACTAGTTAACAGAATATCTAACAAGACCACATAAGTGAGAGGTTCACTACTTCCCCTTAACATCATAATGGGACTCCCTGCACCTCTACAGCCTTAGTCTAGCCTGACTCGCTCCTGCAGCATTAAAAACCGAGAACGCTAGCCCTGACACTTCTCTCTATAGCTGCCCCAGGGACTTAATTAATATGCAATAGAATTTTCCATTTATATTATCGTAGAGTAATTATATACTATAGTATTATATCATATGGAATAAATAAGTATATCAGAGAGATGACGAGGGTGGAGGGTCCAGTGTGGTGGTCGAGATGGTGGCGGGCAAGCAGGAAGAGGCCTACAGCGTCAACGCCTAAAATAAACACACGTCTCAAAATTTGGAAGTAAAAATATTCTCTATCAAACTTTTTTTTGTGCATTATACGTCTGAATCTGACCGTTTGTATATATATTACATCATTCATATTTTCAATTGACAAAGAAAAACACCTTAATTAAGCTGTTGCTTCAATATAAAAGGATACTCTTAATTTACACATAAAACTAAGGAACCATAGAAATAATGGTAAAACAAATGTATCATTATTCTATCTCCCTTCATCAACTGAAACACTTCTTAAACTAATGTTTCTTAGTAAAATGTTCAGGAAATTTTAGGAAGATGGCTGTATCTCAAAACGTCTCGAGGACTAAGGTTTTAATCTCATGTTCCTGAGCACCAAAATTTTTTCGTCAATGTTAGTGAATATTACTACCAATAGTCGCTGTTAAGTCAGTTCATACACACACAAACAAGATAGGCACACAAATGATAGACAGACACTGACCCGAGGGTAGACGGTAGTGAAAATGAGGTCATCAACATTTTCGATCCTGGTACTAGTGACCCGACAGGTGTACCTGCCGAGGCTCCCCTGCTCCACTTGATGGATCAACAGGTCCCCGTTGGCAAGCATCTGTTGGTGGGTGCAACGTTAGAGATAACGGTACATAAAATATCATTAACGGTAATTTATATAAATCTTTGACAATTTCATCACCGTTGACAGGTTACAAGGTCCCCCCCCTAGCCGAGTATTCAAATCCACAACTACTACAGGCAAGCGTCCCCTAATGCTACTGCACATCCTATCACGCAGGCCAGCAAACAAAGGGTGAAAATGGACCTTTTACTCTTAAATCACTTAGTTATATTAATAAGTGGTGGGCTGGTGACTCTACAATACTGTACAGACTCAGAACTATGTGGTCGAACATAACTTCTTGATCTGCTCACTGCTTGTGTCAACATCATTGGAGGTTCGACAACCTGTTCAAGAATGCTGCTCCATATGTGTACAATGATAAGTCATTTTGTCTAAACAGTAACGTCTGGTATAGCTATAATATGGCCTCAGCGGTGGGTGTGTCTCTGTGATATATCCCAAATATGCCTTGAAGATTTTCTTTGTATTCTCACATATTCTGCCTAACCATAAGGACAGCCACGTAACAGTAAGACTTTGACCTTTGATACTAAGGACTGGTAGGATGGCTAATTGGAAACAGGGGTGACATCATGGACGGTGAAAACTACAGAAGGATTATGGCGATGGAATATTGTAAAGCAAGTGGAGCAGATAACGGACCGGAAGTCGAGGGAGAGAGCGATCATTGGTGGAATACTGTGTGCATAACTTATAGAGAACGGTGAATGGTATCTACATCATGCGGCAAACCTGGTAGAAGGTTTTAGATAATAATGGTAAGCTTTATTGTGTTTGTGAATCTTGATAAAACATGCGAATAAATCCTGAGAGAATTGCCTGATGAGTGAGGGGAAAACCAAGGAAATGGGTTAGGATGGTGGAGCGAAAACTATAGTAAGGGCTGCTTAAGAGACTCATAATAGTTCGAAGTGAAAATTGGTATACATCAAGGAATGAGTTGATTAGAGGAGCGAGATCAAGATGAAAGCAAAAATTAAGGTGGAGGGACTTGGTTGAGGGAGGACTGATGACAGAGGAACATGGCGGCGACTGATGCGATGTCTAACATTTGGAAATGGCTAAATGAAGTTGATACTAACAACCCAACACGGAGGAAGATAGTCAATCAATAAAAATTTCAGATGCCTGAAGTAATAGAACTGTAGTGTACCATGTAGTTAGAGTGGTCCCAGGTGAGGAGGGTGTTGTTGAGTTGCCAGGCGTGGGCGGTGTGGAGGCCCTGGGCACGGCAGGGGAGGATGAGGGAGGAACCCAGTTCTGCCAGAGCCATGAGGGAGTGCTGGTAAATGCGAGGGCGAAACGACATCTGGGATGCCGCCAAGCAGTTTGGACCATCCTGACTTCTCTCTGGTGGTGGGAGAAAGTAGGAAGTGAAGATGGTAAACGTGATGTTGCTGACAACATTTGACACAAAAGACGAGGAAATAAAGATAGAAATATAAAAAAGAGGAGGTATACTGTATATATAATACGGTGTCCTATTTTCAGGTTACGCTCGAGTGATATAACATGGATACGAAAAAGAAATATGTATAACTTTACTGTATAAAAAGAGGTTATTGTGCGTCCTAATTAAAAGACTTGTAAGTTATAGATGGATGGAAGGACGTGAGAGGACGATTGGGAATAATAGAAGTGAATGACGATAAATTATGACGACAAGGAACTTTCACACAGTAGGGGAGGTATGGTCTGAATTTCACTGGCTCACTATCCGTCAATATAACAGTTGATGAGGGAAAACGAAGAGACATCGCCTGACATGAAGGGGAGGCGAGGTGGTGGAAATAAAGGATTAGTCATGGATGAGGTAAACAGCTCTAGACTGCATAGTGTATAATGATAAGTAATAGTGTGGTGCGTCACTCCACACGTGAGAGCAGTACACCGTGTAGGGGCGGCCATAGCTGTTGTAAAAAGTGTGCGATTTTGTTCTGCAATGTCAGCAATATTGTACCAAGAGAGGTTATTGGTTATAGTAAGATCAGGGATGTTGTCACTGGTACAATAGTGGTGTTAATATAAGTAGTAGCTGGAGATAACATTTCTTCTGAGAGACAGTTGAGAGATTATGTGTTAGTGAAGGTGAATGTATCAAGTTTGTCTGTGCCTCAGTGAACTATAGCCTCAACACCTGTCTTCAGTGCAGGTGTAGTCTCAACACCTGTCTTCAGTGCAGGTGTAGTATTTAAGTGGGCGACTGAGTGGCAGGAAGGTTAGAGACTGACAGATTTAACTGAGTGAAGGTTAGTGTCACCAAGGGAAGAATGTGTGTGTAGCTGGAGAAGAGATCATTAATATGGAGTTAGAAGAGGGAAGGGACAAGAACTCTGACAACTGATGGTAAGAATAGATGGTGATGATGAGTGAAAGAGAAAAATAAAAGAAAGGGAGATAGTGAAAAAGAAGGTGATGACGAGAGAAGAACTGGAGGAGGGAGACAAATACAAAATGACAACAATGTAGACGAAGATGATGATAGAAATATGTGAGTATATAAACAAAAAACTAGAGATGATCATCACAAAGAAGACTTCTTGGTCTCGTCCATAACACCAGTTAGGTTAAGATGAAGTATATCACTAAGAGTAATCAAGAAAAGTTCTCAAGTTTTTATCTGGCTCTGGGACGTCTAGATCACCTACTACAACAGAAGTGCATGAGTTCTTATCTAACTGACGGAGGGGCGATATAGCCTTAGTTGCTCAAAGACCCTCCCAAGAATTCAACACCTGTCACACTCTAAGAGCCGAGTGAGTCACCCACCTGCGAGAAAGATGGAGAAGTTGCGGTAATGCACGTTGTTGGATGGGGTGGTCACCACGAGGCTGTACTCGGCCTGTGAGGTAGAGAGGGATTCAGTAGGTGTGTAAGATACAACTGAATGTTGAAAAATCTTACAGAAATGGCCACTGTAATCTACTACGGAACTGTGAGCTGTGTATTTTTTTCGCGCCCTTAGCAACCATCACAAGCAAAATTTCGACTTAAAAGTTATGGCATTCATAGACAATGACTAACAGAACTTTAGTTGGAATTCTGACAAGCAACACTCTAATAGCGAGGCAGGAATGATTTGATTAATACTCAGATGAAAACAAAACTGCACTACCATACTTAAGTTAACAATAGCTTGCCTTTGAAAAAAAAAAACTTCTGCATTTACTCTGAGATGAAAGTGGATATTATACAGTTCTTAAGATATATATTTTGACTAATGGCGTTTGAATTTACGGCATCGATAAATAAAACTTTGATTTTGATTTAGTTGAACTTAATGTTGTTCAAGAAGAAAATCTTTACTTACGGCATCGTGTTCATCAGCACAGTCGATGTACACGTTAGAGGAGTAGTGGAGGAGGGAGGAGGAGGTGGAGGTGGAAGTAGAGGAGGCGTCATATACCAGATCCGAATCTTCTTGCTCCACCATATTGGTCTGCTCCTCGAGTGTCTCTTGCTGCGTCTGGGAGTGAATCAGTTCCTGCTGAGGAGCGCCCTGGAGAGTGTAGTGGTGTTAGTCAAAGTGATTTACAACTCATGGCCTCTCTCTCTCTCTCTCTCTGTCTCTCATTTCTTTTATCTTCTCTTTCACATCTCCATCATTCTTTTACACATTTTTTTTCCTTACCATAGACAGGACTGTTGACCTACGCATGAACTACTCACCTGACGATGCAGGATGTTGAGGTTCTTGTACCAGACGAAGTGGGTGCCTGAGGGAGCCACAACGTCACACCGCAGAACAGCATCCTGACGCCTCCTGAGCCCGGCCACTCTGGGGGCACACTGAGCCGTCCACACGACCTCCTCAGGCTCCTGCTGGACGTTAGTCTGTACCGTGCCTGGAGGAGGAGGCAGTGGGTGATGGTGATGAGCATTGGTAGTGGGTGTTGGTAGTGAGTGATGGTGGATACTGATGATGAGTGTTGGGATTTGTTGTTGTTGGATGATGATGATGATGATGGTGGTGGTGGTGGTAGGGGTGGATGTTGGTGGTGGGTATTGGTAGTGTTGGTAGTAAGTGTTGGTATTCATTATTTGTGTGGGTGTTGGTAGTGGGTAGTAGCAGGTCCTGGTAGTGCATACTGGTGGTAAGTGGTGGTGCGTAATGGTAATGGGTGATAGTAGTGAGTGTTGGTGTTAGTGGTGAGTGTTGGTAGGGGTGGTGGTGAATGTGGCTGATCAGAGTTATTGATAGTGGTGGCAGTGAGCGTTGGTAGTAATGGATGGTGGTAGTGGGTGGTAGTGAATGTCTGTAAATAATCATGAGTGCTGGTAGTGGTGGTAATGGGTGTTGATAGTGATGGTAATAAGCGTTGGGAGTTAGCTTTCAGACAGCTAAATATTGCCAACAGTTAACCTCAGTTAAAGCTTTATAAACTTAAGAAACGCACTCACTAGTCAGGGCTACCAACTGTAAACACTCATGACAACAAAGAAAAAGCGTATTAATTATTTTGTTCTGCATTATAACTTATTGTAAGTCTTGAGAAAAATAAAATGCCACTAAAAAACGTTCAATATGGGTAAATCAGAATAACCGAAAAATATGAACAAATAGCAACAAAATAAAAATGAAAATTTATGGAAAGAATTAGGTTCAGCAAGAAAAATGCTATAATTCTGACTGATGTGTGTTCATAATTATGAAAATGTTGAATAAAATATATACGTATCACAACAAATTCAACGTGTCATTGTTTTGTTACTTACGTTTATTGTTCCTCTCGTGGTGGAGGTAGGGGGAGTAGACGTGCTGCAGGAGGATACACCACCAATTACTTCACTTGAAACTATCTGAGCTATTATCGCCTGTATATGCCGTACTCACTATAAACACATTTATAATTAAACCTTTTGTCTCTTACTAATAAACGACATGAACAGCTATGTAACAACCGAGGTACTACCCCTCTTCAGACTAGTTCTTTCCTGTTAAATTCAGGTATAGTTAAGTGATGGTTTAAGTCGCCGGAGAGCCCAAGGCAGAGGTGTTGCTTTGGATATAAAAGTCGTCCTGTGGACCAGGTAGTGGTCGGTGTATATACTGTACAGTGGTCAGCCTAACGTGGTTCTGATTAGTAGTAGTAGTAGTAGTATTTCCGGATATTACTGAACAGCTATACTGATCCACAAAAAAATTAACACAACGAACCTCCTCTCTATTTACATCTAATTTATTTTAATTGGCATGGAATCTTATTAGTAGTATTATGATAACCAGTGAATATGCAAGTTTTTTTAATATTTGTCCTGGTCGAGTTTTCACAGAAAATGGCTTCTCGGAAAAACCAGAAGACACTTGAAATTTATCGGTTAAATCACAGGCCGTACTTAGTTCTGAGTTAAATTTAACAAAAGCCTTCCCCTTCTAATTGTCATAAGGTACACTATTAAAACTAACAATGTGTTCTTAATATATGATTCATTAGTGACATATACCTGTGAGGGTGAAGGGTGGAAGCCTAGGAAGAATGGAGATCGGGCCTCAGTTGCCCATTCCCCGGGCATCAAGATAACCATGATGGCTACCAGCACACACAGTCGGACCATCATGCACCTGCCGGGAGACAAAAGACAGTCGCCATTCAGGAAAAAAATACGACATTTAATCACTGAGCAAAAAAGTTAAGATTATCATCGTGTAGTGTAGGGTACAATATGCTGAAGGATAAAGCCACTTGGCTGTCAGTCATGAAATGAACTAAAGAGGATGACCACAGAGGTAACAATCACTAGACAATCCTGTTCACGAAATTATAGCTGACATGGGGGAAAGATGAAAGAACCAATTAGTGATTGTAGAGCCAGCCTGATGCATGGCCAGTTGATGGAATCAAAGTTGAGGATTATGACCAATACACACATTTAACGCAAGATAAGTCTAAATAAGAATTGTTTGTTATATCAGAGTTTACTGCTTGGAGCAACTAAAGAGACATACAGTACGTCTTTTTTTATGTGGAGTCGGAGTGTTTAACTCAGAAATCACTCTTTTATTACTTTTAAAACCATGTAAGAGTTGGGCACCTCACCCACCCTGTTTACGTGGATATGAGGTAAATTAGCAGAGGTGGATAAAAACAAGTAGTGTTCATATCCTTAGGACTGTACTGTATAGTAGTTTGGGGTCCAGCGTGTCCAACATTTTTAATAAATCTACCAAGGCCTCGTGTCTGAGGGTTGGCGATCAATGGTTTTCCGTCAAACTATCTTCCCTGGTCTTGCATCTCTTTGATTTCCACATCCGGGGTATTAGCCATGGATAAAGATGCCATGGGTGTTGAAACCATGAATTTGCAGTTATTATTTTTAAACCAAACTCACTTGGTCCCACTTTTGGTGTTTCTCTCCCCTTGTCTACTTTACATTAAACGTACCCATTATAATTAAACCTTCATTAAATATCTCAGCTTCTTTGGTCCCCTTTATGTTTCCAGAAAGATTTTTATAAAACATTTTCCGTCACTTGTTGGTGCTAAACCTGATATACAAATCCTTGAGTTTAGAAATTATAATAAATACTGTACAAAGAGGACTCCCTGACAGTGTTCAATATTCCTTTACACAGCTACCTAACTTTACAAGAATATTAACACATCTTTCATGCCTATCATTACCTTTATTAGGCTGTACAGTATATACTAAATGCCGTTCTTCCATACAAATGCTATTTTAGCCTGTCCATCTTACCAGTGCAGGATTTAGACCTGTGGAGGCCCATGGGCAGCCTCTTTGAGGAGGCCCCCCTCATTATAACTACCCAAGAGGGTGGGGTGGCGAGTGAAGCGAGCCTAAACATCTGGGAGTTCCGGGGGCACTGTAAGCCCCCCCGGGAAAATTTTGAAATGTGAACACTTCTTTGGAGAATTTTGAAGCCATATGCAGTTATATTAAAAATATACGGTTCACAGGAAAACCAGGTATTCATGAATTTCAAGGAGTAGCTAGCCTAATTTCTATCACGCTTCTTGCTGAACATAGTTTTACGTGATGGAATAGATAAACATGAATTTTAAAGAATGAAAATAAAAATAGTCCAAATGAATAAACCAATAAATAAAATATTGTAATATGTGGAGTCCCCTGGGCAGCTGCCCACTTTGCCCATTTTTAAAAATGTCACACTTCAACCTTTTCATCTTCCCGCAACCATTTTCACATTTCCCACCTTCATATAACATCCTCACATTCTAAATTTTTATTTTGAGTTCACGCTTCTTCACTATTAAGCTTTCCAGGTTGTTGTTGAATGTCCAAAGCTTTATTGTGCTTTATAAAATACGAAAATGCATCTTTGTTTTGGTCGATCAGTTCCTTCCATTTAAGCATGACTGGAATAAAGTTCAATAACAAAGAAAATAATAAATTTAAGACAGTGACCAGGTACACTTTCGGTAACTCACTGTATGGAGGCGACGATGAAGGTGTTGAAGGTTAGACGAGGTGTGGACACTGACGTGGGTTTTCAGCCTGTGTCCCTTCCAGCGGACTACCACCATATATACCCCTGATTCTAATCCGGCTAAGAAAAAAAACAGCCCAAGTTATCAAAAACAAGTAAGAACGTGGGAATTCCAGGTCTTCTACCCATCCATCACACTCAAAATAGACTAATGTCGTTGATGCACGTAACCAGACCATTGGATGTAAGATTAAAATTATATGTATTTAAACTTCGAAGGAAAAGAACATGAAAAGGACGAATCAACGCGACGATTCACTCAACCTGGAGCAAATGGCTAATATAGATGTGTCATCCTTGAAATATTATAATTATAATAATGACTTTGTTTTTACTACTACTGTACCTACTACTACTTGACAGTTGAACATTATTTTCATCTTAAATGATATAATACACCAAAAGATACTTCCTTGTATATTTCCTTTCAAAAAAAAAATCCCTACAGGATAGCCCCCCTTATTCATACAAATTTTCAAATGGAAATCCCATTAGAACTTACGTTTTGGTGAATTCTTCCACTAAGAAAGGCAGGGACATCAAAATAGTCATGTATTTACAAATTTCAATGAATCGGCAGAAGACATTTATTATTACAGAGAAATTTCCTGTAGAATGTGTTTTGGTCAGGAGTTTAAGTGTTAAGTATTATCCGTTTAACGTATTTTGTTTAACGCTTAAAGAGTCTAGGCTGACGTTAGCCTTGATTCTTTGACCTTTTATATACATCCAATTGGATATTTTGCCGTGACCGTCTGTTCCTACTAACGCTATTTTTCCTTGAGTGAACTCTGATTGGCTAATCGTTCATTACCGGCGAACGCGAGAACTATATTTGACCGAGATTTTTATTTGTTTATTTTATATATTTTTTAATTATTGGGATTAGCCCATCCGGGCACAGGTCACTGGCCCACATCGAGGCCTGGGGGGCGAAAATGTAGTAGTAGTAGTAGTAGTAGTAGTAGTAGTAGTAGTAGTAGTAGTAGGATTCTGGACGCGGGGACAGCGAGCTTTCTTCGACATCAGGATTTTTGATCCCATGGCCGTTTGTCACCATAACCTAGCTCTCGATGCTGCGCATAGGAGGAACGAGAACGACAAGAGAAGGGCATACGGGGAGAGAATACAAAATGTTGATCAAGGCAGCTTCACTCCTCTAGTGTTCACAACCTCGGGTGGGATGGGCCCAAGTGCAAGATGTTTCTACGCCAGACTCGCGGAGCTGATCTCCGAACAGAAGCAGCAGCCCAGAAGTTATGTTACAGCCTGGATGAGATGTCGACTGTCCTTCTCTCTCCTTCGGTCGGCTTTGCTCTGCCTCAGGGGAACGAGAGCTTCCGCCCCTACTCCGACAACTGCTGCAGATATTGACTATGAGGCTACAGTCACTGAATGCCGCATAGATCTGCGGCTCAACTAATTTAACACAGATAGGATAGCTTCTTATGTATTAGGATATTTAATATTAAGGTAAATAAATGGTGGCGAAGGTGTGGCTATTGGGGGAGGCTGGAGGCCACTTTAAAAAAAAAAGAAAAGAAAAGTAGTAGTAGTAGTAGTAGTAGTAGTAGTAATAGTAGTAGTAATAGTAGTAGTAGTAGTAGTAGTAGTAGTAGTAGTAAATAATAATAATAATAATAATAATAATAATAATAATAATAATAATAATAATAATAATAATAATAGACATACACAAATGAAAAAATCAAGAGAAATAATATATATATATATATATATATATATATATATATATATATATATATATATATATATACTGATAACCACAAGGAAACAAGAAAACACGAAGTTCCCAAGCGCTTTCGTGTAATTCACATCTTCAGGGGTGAGTACAGACTAAGGAGAAATACTTGACAAGGCTAATATATACAGTAGAAAAGAGAGAGATCAAGTCCTTAGGGGACCGTAGGTGTTTATTAAACACTTAGTACTGTGGGGTTTGACAGGGTTGTCCTGGTGCCCTCCCCCCCTCCCAGTATACACTGATGAATGTTGCCACATCCTAGTGAAACGTTTCCCCTTATACGCTGACATCGAAGATGCACGTGACTTTAATTCTTGTATACTCAGTATATGTCGACATTACCGAGGGAACACCCCACAAGCTGCTGTCATTGTCAAGTGGGAGGGAGGGGAATGCCCAACCACTGTGGAGGCCCACCCAATCCTCCCTCCACTTTATGCAGAACCCTATCACCCCGGGCCTGCATTTTGTGTTATCTGTTCTCATTGGGGTCACACCTTTACTGCCTGCTGCCAACGTGATCGTCCCAGTTGTCACTTCTGTTCAGGTAACCATAACACTGCTGCTTGTGCCCAGAAAATCAAAGCCCACCTTAATGGGGGTGGTGTGGGCTATGTGGTTGATCCCAGGTGTTATAACTGTGGTGGCTGGCACAATGCTGACTCACGACAATGCCCCAATCGCCCGTCTGTCCCAGGGGAAAAGCCTCCCCGAAGGCCGTGTCTACCACAACGCCCACCCTCGTCTACCGGGCCGCCTCCCTCTGTCTCCAGCAATGCCTCCTTCTTCGGCAGCACCTGCCCCTGCCTGGCCTCACCTGGCTGCAATACAGCAGTCCCGGCCGTTTCCTAACTCAACTACTACTGGGCCTCCTCCCCGTCTGTACTCTGACGCTGTCGGGCCTTGTGCTCCCACTGGTGCCCCCCCACAACCTCCCTCCAGTGACACGACACAAATCATATCCCTCTTCCAAGAATTTACCAACCGTATTGAAAACCTCTTTGTTACACTCTGTACCACCATCTCCGACCTACTCTTGCCCTCTGTTGCCACCAGGTCACTCCTCTCTTCTGGTTTGACACAAGCTGGTAGTCCCCCCTGTGAGCCCCCCTGCTCACGGCCTACTCCACCGCCGGCGGCCTTCACTACTGGTGTAGCACCTGCCCTGGTGTGTCCTGCTGCCCCCGAGTAAAGTCCTGCCTCATCTTCACAACACGTGGTGCCTCAACCTGTCTTCCACCCACCGCAAGCTGCGCCCACTACTATGTCTGTGCTGTCTCCACCAGGGCTACCTATTGGACCTGAAGCCACCCCGGGCTACCCATACCCCACCGGCATGTCGACGCACACGCCATCACAATCACACTAAAAGGTATGTCCCTCAATACTGTCAATGCTTATGTGCCTCCCTCCATCGCTACTGTACCTGCCCCACCACACCATATCACCTCCATCCCCACTGTACTTCGCCATGCCTAGTACACTGGCAACCCTGAGCCTGGCCGCACTGTTTGTAAACTTTGTGGTCAGCCGACTCTCACACCCTCTCTCACTACATCCTCGGTGGACGAGGGGCACAATTATGATGTGGTATATCTCGTCTTTAGCAAAGCCTTCGACAGAGTCCCCCACGAAAGACTAATTAGAAAGGTAGAAGCACATGGCATCAAAGGTAATATCCTTAAATAGATTAGGGCGTGGTTACAGGACAGGAAACAGCGAGTGAGCATTAATGGCACTGAGTCCCATTGGAGCAACGTCACAAGTGGAGTTCCCCAAGGCTCAGTACTTGGACCATTATTATTTATTATATACATAAACGACATAGATATCAGCATAGACAGCAACATAAGCAAATTTGCTAATGACACTAAAATAGGACGTGTTATTAAATCTGACGAGGACTCCGCAAAACTACAGGAAGATCTAAACAAATTTTTCGAATGGTCTGAAAAATGGCAGATGAAATTCAACGTGGACAAATGTAAAGTACTCAGTATAGGAGATGTAAACAGGGAAACCAGATACCAGATGAACAACGATGCCATAGAGAAATCCGACTGCGAGAGAGATTTAGGAGTAATGATAAGTAGGAACCTTAAGCCAAGTAAACAATGTGTTTTTGCTCGTAACAAGGCTAATAAAGTACTTGGGTTCATACAAAGGAGTGTTAGTTACAAGACTAGCGAGGTCATCCTAAAACTGTATCTTGCTCTTGTGAGACCACACCTGGATTATGCAGTTCAGTTCTGGTCACCGTATTACAGAATGGATATAGAATCCTTGGAAAGAATTCAGAGGAGAATGACAAGACTAATCCCGGGCATTAGGAACCTTGAGTATAGAGACAGGTTAAAGCATCTTAATTTGCACTCCCTCGAGAGACGTAGAGCGAGGGGCGACCTGATAGAGGTGTATAAGTGGAAGGCAGGGCTAAACAAAGGGGACATTACAAAGGTACTCAAACTATCCAACCAGGAGCGAACTCGTAACAATGGTTTTAAATTAGACAAATTTAGATTTAGGCGTGAAATAGGTAAACACTGGTTTGGAAACAGTAGTGGATGAATGGAACAAGTTACCAAATATCATTAACTGGAATACGCTGACTAGCTTTAAACATAGGTTGGATGCTTATATGAGCAATAGGGGTTGGGTGTAAACGGGACTGCCCAGTATGGGCCAATAGGCCCGCTGCAGTTTCCTCCATTCTTATGTCCTTATGTTCTTATGACCTCCTACAGGACCCCAGCCGTTACCAACACCTCTTCCCTCCCTAGAGACAGGCCTGGCACTTGACATTATTAGGGACCTGCCACACTTTGCCATAAACAGATAAATTGTACCGGGAATTTTTCCCCCACACACTCATCATTCTGACACTTTATGTAACTTGCTGACAAAACCCATGACCCTTCAGGCTTTTACGCCCTTAATGCATGAGTCATAAAGGCAAGCATGAACTCTGCATTCTTCCCAGATGGGCGCTGTAAACGCTTCTGCACTTCATCATGCACAGGATGTAAGGGGGTGCCCCCTCGGGGGCAATCTAAAAAAAATCAGTCCTTGTAATTCAGTTGCCTCTGAAGATGTCTTGAATAAAGACGATGTTTCCCTTTTTCCTGTGTGGTTTTATCAAGATTTATCTTATTCACGCTTCCATTGTGGATCTACATGACATATATATATATATATATATATATATATATATATATATATATATATATATATATATA